AATAATGGATTCATGAAATTGAAAGGTAATACGTATACACTTTTATCGTACTATAAGTCATGATTTTGACTAACAATTTTTTCACTTGGCCTTTTAGCAAGGGTGCTCGATCCGCCAGCAATGATGATTAATAATACAAATATCATTACTGAAAAGGGTGAATGGGAAACCATTAAATTTAACAAGGTAATTATTTAAACATATCATCACTTAACATTAAAGTTTTTTTCAAATTCTCTCGGTAACTTTTTTTTTTTAATTATTACAGGGTGCTGACCTATATAATTGGTCCGTGGTTTGTTTTGATCCTGAATTAAATGAGTCAGTAATCGAGCCTGCATTTAGACAATTAAAAGAAATACTAATTTCAAAAGGATTAGTAAGTTTTGTTCATTTGTTGTTTCAGTTATTTTGTTAGTTACTGTACATAAAGATAAATTAATATGCTACCTTAAATAATTTAGAATGTACCTCATATGCCAAAGATCTTGCGGCGTAATTGTCATGATTATGAAAACGTATGTACTTTATTACAGTTATAGTTAACGGTATAATAAATTTATGAAATTCTGTATTGCAATGAAGGATTATTGCTTTGCAGTTCAGTAATTTTTGGTCGTCAATTATAGTCGCAATACTATTCAAGCTAAACAATTTAATGAATTTTTTTTAATAATACGCATTTTGTGTTTTGTAGTCTATTACAAAAGCAGCCCAAGATGCGATAATTGATAACTCCAAACCTGCCCAATTGGTTATATGTATTATTCCAAGAAAGCATCAAGAAGAAGACGGCTTATACGCAAACATAAAGAGACTTTGTTATATAAAATTAGGCATTATGAACCAATGCATTCTTAAGAAGAATATTGTGGATATGAGAACTCAAAGACTTGTAAACAATATAAAAAGTGTTCTGAGTAATGTGGCGCTAAAAATAAATGGCAAACTTGATGGTAAAAATTCACGTTTAGCCGATAATTTGCTTGATTTCAAGGCCGAAAAAGATGTGTGTATTTTTTAATATTTTACACTCAAAAATATAAGTATGTTAAATTATTTTTGCGTTATTATAGCATATGGTATTCGCTGCAGACGTTTATCATCCCGGAAGCAAGGATAAAATAAGAGGCCGACCTAGCGTTGCTGCAGTTTGTGGATCAATGGATGATAATGTAACAGACTATGCTTGCCGTTATCGTATGAACGAAAAGCTAAGACATGACGTTGATATTATCGAAAAACTTAACGACATGGTTATAGAATTGCTTGAACAACATACAATCAAACAAACCAAACTACCGGATCAAATTGTCTTCTATCGTGATGGTGTTGGAGAAACACAGTTTGATACTGTTATAAGTGAGGAATTAGAACCCTTGCTTGATACTCTTGAAAATCATTATAAATCTAAAGATCTGCCGACGCCAAAATTAACATTTATAATTATACAAAAACGACATCATGCTAGGTAAATTGCTGTCTATGATATTCTTACACCAAGTTTTTTGTTTAGTTAATTGTCTTTTTTATTTTACTTAGATTTAAACTAATTAATGGCGAGAATTGTAAATTGGGTACCATAATTGATACTGATATTGTTATGAAAAAAGAATTTAGTTTTTGTAAGTTAAGAAAATGTTTTTTTTTTACATAATTTATGCTTATTAACCAGATTAAATTCAATATCGATATTAGATTTACAGTCCCACATTAGTCCACGTGGAACTGCCCGTTCTGCATATTATCATGTAGTTCTAAATCAAGGAAATTTTTCCGCTGACGAGATTTATAATTTGACATTTAGACTTTGCTTTTTGTCTTACAGGTATTTAAAATAATGATTTTTTTAAAATAAAATTCTTTTATTTATTTTATTTGAATTTACGTGTTTTTTTTTTATTTAAGGTGCAATCGCGCATTATCTCAAGTTACACCAGCTAGTTATGCTCATAATATTGCAAACCTTGCTAGGTATTTTGTTGAATACAAAGCGATTGAAGAAAATCAGGAAAATCAGGGAAATCGAGGAGGTCGTGGAGGCCGTGGAGGTCGAGGACGAGGAGGTCGAGGTCGAGGAGGTCGAGGTCGAGGAGGTCGAGATCGAGGAGGTCGAGGTCGAGGACGAGGAGGTCGAGGAGGTCAAGGAGGTCAAGGAAATAGAGAAAATCTAGAAGGAAATCGTGATGATAGAAGAAATCGTGACAATAATTCAAGACCCCCTCGACCGGAATTTGTTCAGGATGGAAAAACGCTCGTCGCCGACTCGAAAATTGAAAATGAAAAATTTTTTCTATAAACTTCTCTTTTAATACAGGTTTTCCACAATTTTGGTCTCTAATTTTCATAAGTTTTGTATAATGTCACGTTATAACGTGTTCTTCCGACCTATTTTCCCTTTCGTCCTTTCTTCTTATAAGATAGCTTGATATATTTTTAGCTAAGGCCATACTATTTAATTCTTTGTTTAGCATAATTCTCTGCCAATTATACACATCATATTAACCAACAAATTGCAGTATTAGTTTTTTTTACATATTTTTTATATTTTTACAGTAATAGAATAACTATATTGTTTATTAATTTATGTTTTTTATACCTCCTCCATTCTTATGAATTATTCTATGTTATGTTAAGCAAAGAATCAATTTGGAGTGGCCTAAATACCTCCAGAATTATTGATAATTAATATTGATTAATTATTGATCGAATTATTAATTAATAGTACATGGCAATATTTTCTCAAATTTCACAAATAATTGCTCAGACTGTTCTTTTCACATTTGCAGACTAAAATCTATCATATTAAATTTTATCAACGAATTCTTAAAATTATTTACTGAAGCTTTTTTTTTCACAAACCTAATTCGAAATATTAGCGATGATCAAAGTTATTAGCTAGGTAACCCTGTAAAAAATTTTTTCTGAATATTTCCGTTATTTCTCCATATTTTTAGTGGAAATTCCGTGAATCTGCAACATGATCGACAAAATCTAGGCAAGCCCGAATAATCTACATGATTTAATGTTATAAATTCCGTGAATATGCAACATTTATGAACAAAACACGGAATATAAAACATGGATCGACTTTTTTTATAGGGCAATGCAGCATAATGAGATTAAAGAACTTTATGAAAGATTAATTGCATGTAACGTGGGACGTCGTCGATATTATATTGATGTCCGACATAGTTTATTATACTAAGTTGTTACAAATACCATGTTACAATTAATCTTGTGCAACTATTTTTTTTATCACATCATGCTACGTTTTTGATTGTTATGGGCTAACTTCTCGGAATATATTTTCTGAAATGCCATTTCACCGAAGTCGTAATACTATACTAACAGGACACCCGCAATCATAAATTTACCGACAAGTTTATTTCACCGACAAGTTTTTTTAAAAATTGCACTAATTTAACTCTAATTCTAAACCTGATCCTAACGACAATTACTTTGTCAGGAAATAATTGCTGGTGAAATAAAGGTAAAGCCGTCAGTGAAATAACATGTCAGTGAAATAAACTTTTCAGTAAAGTGATTGTCGGTAAACGACATGTCTGAATTATGGAATGGGAGAAATGGGAGAAATAATATTTTGGGAAGGTAAACTTCGGGAAAGCGAGCTATAGCAGTTTTTGATTGATGACTTCTCATGTGTCCAAGTGATCACAAACACGATTTATATGTCACAACGTAGTAGTCTTTAATTAAGTCGAAAAAATACAGTAATTTAGTAATTATGAAATAAGATTTCATAAAACTTATCTAGTATAAATACAAAAGTAAAATTTCTTCTTTGATATCTACTTTAATCAGTATCATAAACTAAACATTGACGAAAGTTTTATGGTAAATAAACATATTTAAATGGAAGAAGAAAAGAAACCTCATATTATCAAAATTTCTCAAGAATCTGTAATAGTTAACACGGAAGAATAATACAGCTCATCAATTTGCTAAATTCCTAATAAAAT